AACCGATGATGCCCCAGCGGGGGGATGATGAATGTGACATGGTGGGATTAGCGGATATTATCAATTAAACAAATGCACAAATTCATATACGAATAGAAAACTTACGTAAAATTTACAAGACTCATTTAATGAGTCTTGTCGCATTTAAAAGTCGAATTCGAGAATTAAATGGCTCATTTTTCACAGTTTGTCGACGACTAACGATATTTTGAACGCTATGCAGACCCACCGTCTAAAGCCTAGAGTTATAGGTTACTAGAACACTTAACATGGTCTTTGACTTGACTGATAACCACCAGAGCAATTCAACATGTAGACACTGATTCTCAAGAATTATTCCAACTCATGTCGAAATGGCCTCGCATCTCTACGAATTCATCATCGTTGCCAAACCAGCCACTAGCAGATATGCAAGCACCTTAAGATTCTCAAGACAGTTGTCATCCTCACCTTGATTTTATCCTCAAGGTGCTTCTTCTCGGTTTCTGTCGAGAAGTCCAAAGAGTATTTACCCTGCCGTCCAAAGAGCTCAATTAATTGCCTTATTTCTATATTCTGTATTTTACGTTCATTCACGCCTTCTGTCTGTGGCATTCTTCAGACAGAAAGTCAAGTGACACTATTTGCTACAAGCTGGTGCACAAACATTGCGCTGGTCATGACGCTGTTTACTTAAGCTCATTTTTGCTTTACGCAATGTATGACGGTAGCTAATATTTATTTCGGTAAGGTCGCGCCGACTTTGGTTTGGCGCTATACGGTCGTGATAACAGCCAGTCTATAATGATATCTTTACGTACAGTTGTACTGAGAATAGACCCTCTTGTCTGGTCAGTCTTTCTTTCTGGTGTAAATCCAGAAAGTGCAAGCGACGTAAAAAGAGAATAGTATTGTACAAATAAACTAGAATTTTGACGGCTAATCTGAATTCCACAGTCGATGCTAGGCTATCGGATCAACCGCATATCTCCAAAAAGTGCAATATTGTCGTTTTTATACTAAGCCCAATGAGTCTATTTGTGCTAATATGCTCATCTAGTAGTGGCAATGGATAGGAAACAACAATACTTCTCCACATATATTATGGATCTTGTATCTAATCTGAGGACGAGGGAGCAAACTTCTCGCACCACGCGCTTGTGTCACGCCACAAAACTGACTTTAGTATAAACGATACAGTCTTCAGCACCTTCAAGCAGTCAAGCGATACGCGAGACACCTGCTCGGCGATTTAACTCGACTAACAAATTCCAAACAACGGCTCTATCTCAAGTGCAACTTGCAGTACCGAACGCGTAGCCCTACATCGAAAAAAGAGAAAAGATCAGGTATCCATTCAAAAATCGAGCGAAAAAACACTTTATGGGAATAAAATTTAAAAACAATGAGCTTTAACTTGATTATTAAATACTACTACGATTACATTACTTTCTCATCCTACCACCGTGCCTCCAGCAGTAGCCACCAGATTTAGGGCCTTTTTCACATCCCTCAAGTTTGCACAGTCGTTTGCCTCCATGACTCCAGCAAACTCCATCTTTACGTGAGGCGTTTGGACATCCTTTGACAGTGCAGCGTTTGCCTCCGCCGTGACTGATACAGAGACCAATACTTACCGCATGCTTCATACAATCCACTTTAGAGCATCGTAAACCACCACCATGAGCAATGCAAAAGCCACCAGCTTTAGCACGTTTCATGCAGTCCGTCATACCACAAAGCTTGGCATTACTATTGCGTTTCGGCTGGGTATTTCCAAAACGAAGAATTGATCGATTCTTTTGTGCTAAATCGAAATTGTCGAGCTGTTTCGTATTCGTGTCAGCCAGAAGATTCTCGAGTTTCAACTCAGGTTGTCGTGGCGATGCTGTCTTGATGTCTTGAAGTTGCATGTCAAGATTTATGTTGTGTATTCTGACATGCGTCAAATCTCGTGAATTGGCGTCATGGTTTATCATGGTACAAATGGATGGCAATCGCATGGTTGTTTTTTCCTTCAGTGGTGAAAGTTGAGAGCTGAGTAAATCGCTCATAGTCACAATACGCGGTGACCTCTCTGAAGTGGTAATTTTGATGGAGCTATTCGAAGTAGCTGAGACTGGAAGTGCAAATAGACTGGGAAGACGAATGGTAGGACCATTATGTGCAGATGATGTCGAACATTCGTTCCAAAGTTTCTTGCCAAGTTGAAGATCCAAAGGAGCAAAGAGAGTCTCCATGATAATTATTTCCAAGCGTGCAAAAGCAAAACTGACTTGTTTTGATTAAAGCACACGATGTTCTAAGTCTAGATTGTGAAGTAGACAAACGTTAAACAGAGATAGGGCAATGAATCTCTAATATTACAACACCAAGTTCAACTCGGCGGCCCCCAAGCGGAAATGTAGAATTATGTATCGAAAAAAAACAGTTTCTTGGGGTTGGGGGTTAAATACTTTGTTCCCCATTGCGATAATTAGTATGTTCACCAAAACATTAGTCTTGACGTCGCAAAAGGTAGCAATGTGATGAACTCTCATGTTTCATGGTATTCGAGATTCCAATGAAAATTGCGGTAATCAACGATATTACTCGATTGATACGGTCGTCAGTTTTTTTTGTCTTTGAAGTTCAATTGCACACTGGCTTCATGCGATAGGTTAAGTACGTACCGATTAAAATTTAGTCAAACGTAGTATAGTTTGAATGCTTCCAAGTCGGAAATGGAGCCGATAAGAAAGTCCCGCCAGCGAAAGGCGCGAGTTGACATTTATTCGACAACTTCAGTGTTCATGCAGTAATAAATATTACAAATTGCCGGTGCGACTGGCAGTGACGAGGTCGACGCGACAGTTAACGAATGATAGCAGCTGCTGCCCTTCAACAATACATTCACCCCAAAAAAACGCTAGAATGACGCATTTCGAAATCCGCGAAACTGGATCTCTTGTATTTTGTTGGCGTAATGTCATCCTCACATTACACTGAAAGCGTAGGCGCATACTTTTTACTGTTAAAGCTTCAAGCCGAGAAGCATTTCTTTACGACCGTGAGTTCAATAGTATGCGACAGTAAGGCAGAACAAAAAAATAGTTCAACCCCTAGATTTATGCTCCAGCTAAGCTTAAAGGATTTGCGACAATATATATGGCTGACTCATATTTGAGCACCGAGCAAGTGCAAGAATCTCAAGCTAATTTGAGATTTTAGCTGCATTTTGGAAGGAAGCAGATTTTTACTGGCACATAAACCTTGTTTGTTGCTCTATATTTAATACTGACCCAACCCACACCGATAAAGGTTTTCCCTTCATTGTCGCCGATCATTCTTTCCACGACTCCCTATGCACCGTCATGTCAACAGCGGTTGTTTGAATAATCTAGCTGCCACCACCGACATTGACTGTATGATCAGAAAGAGCGTTTAGTTAGATACATATACATCAATAAGATGTCTACACACTACAATGAAATAAAATTTTCAGAACAAAAAGTGCAAGGAGATTCACTCCACCCGCCTTTATCTTAGATAATCAGCTTGTGAGTAGACTCAAGCACAAATAGAATTACTTGGAAACAACTGAGCTGATGTAAGTATTCTGCATAACAAGTAATGCGTACGAAAAGTCAAATTTAAAACTGGCGCCTGACTCCTTGGAGGTGCCGAAGGACTGTATCGTCTGTGCGAAAATCACTCTTAAAGCTGAGCCAACGGCGCGTCGTACGAGAAGTTCGCTTCATTGCTCTTGGCGGTATTAGAAATTGGAAATGGCTTGAGTATTTAAAAGGCGCAATACAATTTTGTTAGCGACTTGAGTTCTGATCATGATTCGTACGTGTGGAGATCCATCTGGATACTCAAAGTACCAGATCTTATGGAAAGGAAACATGATGTACGTTCTAGTCGATTCAAAGATGCCCTTAAATTGATCAAGTATTAACTTAATCAAAAGGGATTTTTATGAGGACTATACCAGCTTCAATGTTTTAAGCTGCCAATAAACTAAACAAAATCTTGTCTGGACGTCTATCGTTCTAGAAAATACCCATTATTCGAAACCGTATATAAAGATTGGCGAATGTCAAGAAATCATATCATTTAGTTAAACTCGTTGGTATCTCCTCAATGAACAGGATGGACCGGCTGGAGTTGCCTGGGGCGATACCGATTTGTTTCAAGAAAAACTTCATCTGCCATCGCCTGCATCGAATCAAGTGACAAAATGCCAACTTTTGAAAGGGAATAAGTGCATCGTGGGTTTTAAGAAGATAGTTTTCATTCTCACCTTGTTGTGTGATTTTGGTTTCGTCTCTTGCGCGATGAGGATTATCCGCTAGGTTCTTTCGATCCGCAACGATACGAGATTTTGCACCGAATAACTATACTTTGCCGCGTAACCCGAAGCCGGCACATTCAGCACGTTGTGATTGCATAATGATTTTAAATAGCTGCACGTTGAATATACTCCAGTTTTCTACCACAACATTTTTTTCGACAACGTAACATATTGTTGATAGCCTCGGAACAACCAGATATCTGTCTTACTAGCAGTTTTGCAAGTAGTCGCCTTTCACAACAGCAGTTTCTATTCTTTTGCTGAATAATAAACGCAGCAGCGATATGTTCTGGTACGACAATCACACGTGCGAAATACGACGACAGTGGTGGTAATTACGTTTCCAGCAATAAAGGACCATGTTGCTTTTCGTGATAACACATACCCTTGTCCCACACATACAATTCACCTCGAATCAATTTTGTGGCAAGTCTTGGCTTCTGAGATTTACTGCTGCTCTTTTTAATACATCAACTATCGCATCCAGCTCTTCAAACCAACGAAGCAGAAGTTAGACTCAAACTACGTTAACTTTTACTTTCTCGATTTCAGATCAAGTGCAACGTCCGTCGCTCGTTTCCATTTTGAGCTCGTCTATTTTCACTTCGTGACTTTGAAAAAGCACAAAGCTTTCCCTTTTCAATTACAACCGCAGTCAAAATTGCTGCTGGGTGCCGTACTGCTTCCAAAATCTTTCAATAGTCTGTATGATCGCACATTAACTCGCCAATTCAAATGATTGCGCCAAAAAGTTATCACGGCTGTGATCAAAAATACTTTCACCCGCTTACAGCTTTAGTGGCAGATAACACTTGATGTTTCTGCAGCACCTTCGCAGACTTTTGCCGTTTGATCAAAGTGTTGTCAGCCATCAATGTCGCTATATACTGACCATTATTAACAAAAGTGACTTTTTTAATGGATAATCGAATTACAGCCGCTCCTTGCGCTTGAAATGAAGTATTTTAGTACCAAAACTACACTGTTTTTTCAGCACAAGCTACACGAACCCAAAAATTCATAGATCATTAAATCTGCTTTGACTTGTCTGGTCTAAATTCGATTCACATGCAGTTGCTCCTATATTCTGTCGTTTGTAGTCAGACATCACTGGTATGCACGCATAGGTGGGTTCATGACTCATTGTGTCAAACCAGATCATAGAAGCTCATATGTAGCATCAAACATCGGGCTAGTCGGTTTGTACAAGAGAGAATTACCTTAATATAAAAGCATTCGATCTATTCTCCTGCTCAAACGTAAGAGATTGCGTATATTCTCTTCGAGATGACTAATGATATCCATCCCAATTATGAAAACGTCATTACTCTAAATAGTTTTTTCATGATCAATCTTGACAGGCACTAACTCTGAAGCTAGTCCAACATTTGATCTATATTATCAGACGAAACACCACAGCTTTAAAAACGTCATCAAACGCTTCGCATTCAGTCCATAAATTTGCGCCAAAATATTGCAATGATCTCTGCTTAATGAGTCTGGAAAATGCATGTTCTTTGTATTATTATTATATTTCTGCATTCTGCTGATCTGAAAACCCCGCAATCTCCTACCAGTAATGTGTTTATCTTCACAAGGCATTTATTGCCGTTATCACTCAGTAAATTCAATGATTATTTGACGAAGGTCAATATGCTAAAAAAGAACTAAATTCACTAAAGTCAAAACGCTCGGTTATGATCTCACACAATCTTGGCGATTGCAAATACAATGCACAGCCAAAAGACGATAGGATTAAATGCCAACAGATTAGTAATCTATGCGATATACTTCAGTACATGATTCGAACCTTGGAAACTTAATTCTGCTGCAGACTTCAATCAAGTGAATCACAAAATTTGGTCAGAAAAGAAATAGAACCATCTCATTGACGCACATTAACAAATCTTTCGATGGATGTGAAGCAGATATTCTCAACCTGAAAGATCTCTATGACGAGGACTTGAATGAAACCTCCAGCTAGTATGAATGATGCAGCAGGTAAACGTACATATAAAACTTTCTTACATGGGAAAATTTAGCGTTCAGGGAAGACTTTCTAATACTATAATTTGACTAATAGCGAGACACACAGGCAAAGTCCTGTCGAACTCGATGAAAGAGTGAGACGGATTAAGACGAAGCATTCACCACTCGCTGTGCTAGCAACACTCTAATGACTTGAGAGCAATTGCGTCCAGGGGACGAACTGGTCAGGTATCAAGTGCTAGCTTGCCGCCTATTCTGCATTCCTTTCGGGATCTCAAAAACTGCGCAATTTCTCGTCTCCAATGCCTTCATGACTACTTTCACTACGATGACGAAGGCCAAGTTACGAATAAAGCGTTTCATTTTATTTTGTTAAACGGTTGTCCTCAAGCTGCTAGTAGCGAGAAAGTAGATAAACAGTCCAGGACGTGATTGTCTTACCTTTCACAGCATGGTTTGCTATATCACTTCACTCTCGAGTATACGTGTTTATATATGTATGGGTTAGAAGAACGTGTTCCTCTACCGCAAACATCAAATTTACATCAGGATCATTTTTCATCGGGGTAGACTTCACTCGACATCACTGCTTAATTATGTTTTGGATCGTATGTAGAGTTTGGTAGCTCTTCTAATTCAGATTTGTCGATCACTCGTTATCTTGGAAGTTTGCCGTCTTTGAACAGAATGCCAAAGTCCACGCTTCGTGCACACTTTTGCGCTTTCGCATCATTCATTAGTGTGTCATTAATTAATCACAAGTGTCTTTATTATAAATTGTTCTGACATCAACGTGAACAGTGAAGAAGAAGATAAACGTCCACGTCCGACGTTTCTAACTATGGACATTCGGTTATATTTCAGACAACAAGGAATGACCTTGTGTCAAAAACGATTATTGTCGTTACTTCTGTAATGCAGCATTTCTTTTTAACGTCAGCGTCAGTTGGTCGCATGTTATAGTTATTAAGGGTTTGAAACAATCAGTTGGAGCTTTTTCACACAAGACATGCATATTCAAATGCTTAGTGTATTAAGCACTAATATATGCTAAGATACTTTGACGAACGCCTTATGGCTAAGTAGCTAGGACCACGCTATGCGGTCTATTTACCAAGCCTGGGTTGTCGTCAATTATGTTATCCACAAGAACTATTTGTATAGGATTCTGCTCAAAAATATGGAGAGCAACTTCAGCGCGAACACACTTTTCTTTTCGAAAAGGAGGCGTCAAGATGGAACGGGTGGAGCATTTTCGACTCGCTACTCGAATTTGTTTACATGCAACCGCATTGTGTCACCCGAGGTACATTAGCGGATGAGCTCCATGTAGCGTAATATGGTTTTAATGCCTATGCTTTTTGACAATAATGGAATTTTTATTTCAACTTAACTACTATGGACTCAAATTTCATACAATTTGACCTTAAAATTTACAATGAAAAAAGTCTAGCACTTCCTACCAATGATGATGGGGTCGCAGGTGGTCACAGACTTCCTGCGCTACCTCGAAGACCCAGACGTGGCGGTGGCTGTGGCTGCTATCAAAGCTTTAACGGGTGTCATTATTCGCAGCGAGGCCAGCACCATGATGCAAATGGAGAGCGAACTTCAAGCGGCAGCGCAACAACTACGTGCCTTTCAGGCCGCAGATGACGATGCACGAGCCACACGCTTTCACAATTCGATCGCAACAACGGCTGGCTGTCAGCTTTTTCTTCGCTACGTCACTCGGTGTTTTCTCGAGTTTGATGACTTCGATTTATGCCGCTCACAGTTGATTGATCGAGGTAAACTTTTTGCCGAGACATCGCTATCCAGTCGCAAGCGCATCAGTGATGTAGGACACAACTTTATCCGCGATGGCATGGTGCGTATTGCAATATTTCATGATATAGCATATTTGGTGGCTTTTGTGTGCTCAAATAAGTGGTAACGAAATTTGTAGAAAGTTTTGACCCACGGAAAGTCGCGCGTCGTGATCGCATTATTGCGCGAAGCTGCTCGAACTAAAAACTTTTCTGTTTTTGTGACGGAAGGACGAAGCAATGGATCCGGGTCTGTTTTTATTATATATCTAATTTGACGCGTTTTTGAATGTGTGTGATTGACTTCATTTGAAAAGAGTGCGGACAGCAGAAGAGTTGGCAAAGGCGGGAATCCCTACGACAGTTATACTCGACTCAGCGGTTGCTTACTATATGGAGCAGATAGATATTGTGATTGTCGGGGCTGAAGGCGTGGTGGAAAACGGGGGTATCGTCAATTCAGTAAGTTTTGATACACATAAAATATGAATTTTTGCTAAGTAATAATTTTTCAGGTTGGCACATACTCGATTGCAGTAATTGCACAAGCGCTTAAAAAACAATTTTATGTAGCAGCAGAGAGCTACAAATTTGCTCGACTGTACCCATTGACACAACGTGACGTCCCGCAGAAGCAGATGGGTGCAATTACTAGCAATATGGCAGGTGGTGAGGCAATTGATGAAGCGGTGGGACACATATCATTCACTAGCCCATTCTTTGATTACACGCCGCCTGGATATATTGCGCTCATGTTTACAGATTTGGGTGTACTTACCCCATCTGCAGTTTCGGACGAATTGATAAAGCTGTATCAGTAACGTTTCTATGATATTTTATCGAATATAAAACTCTGATATCCCTTTTGACATATACAAACATCTCAATTTAAAACAAAGGTAAGAAGCTTCAATTACGATAGAAGAACCTTTTTATCTACATTGTATCACACATCATGGATAAAACTGCTTTAAACACCAGGTATATTTGACAGCAATTTGATTTTCTTTGAGAGACTGTGAGATCGTGAAAGATGACAAGCAAACTGCAATTTATTCATAAGGAAGTTATGAATGCATCAAACAATCAGCACGCCTGCATTCAATTTATAGATTTAGTGGTACGGGAAGGTATACGCTGCTGAGAAACAATCTTGGCTCCTTTACTTTTATTGCTCAGTTGCGAGGATCACTTTACAAAGATCCCACTTAAAGTTGACGCACACGACTCAAACAGTAAAAGGCTAATTGCAAAGTCCTATGTGTCGTATGGCATGTCGCGCCTTATATATGACGGTATGTTTGGCACTCCACTTTAATTCTTAATCCGAGAAAAAAATAGTTTCAAGTGTCTGTACAGCATCACATCAACTATCTTATAGCTCTAGTTATCAGCAAACTTTGAATACCGACATCGTGTTGTTTTTACCAGTGGTTTTACCATTTCTGCAGCTTACAACCAACATTCTCGTTGAGACTACTTATCAGATTGTTATTTTTCAGCTTAGCGTATGCTCTGAGCATAAAATAAAGCGAACACAAGCCGTGCTATATAGAGCTGTCAGCACCTAGCACATCGATAAGTTTTACTCAATGAATATGCGCTAACAGCACACAGAGGGTGGGTTTGTACTGATGCAGTCCTAAAACTTTCCTTTTTACATTTCAAGATTGAGAAAGATTTTCAATTATATCGGATTTACTGCTTTCAGCGATATTGCTTGACGTGAGCGTAATAGCTGACGTATCCAATAGACCCCATCTCTTCGAAGTCCATCTACCAATACTTCTGTGTATTGCCGAGTCACCGTTACTTTTAAAATTGCACTAATTGTTCGTCATCTTATAAGAGAATCATCAGTTCCCCACAGCGTTGGTACATCAGTAAACTGAGTTCGTACGACTGAAATCCATCGCGCTTCTCCTCATCGCGTTTTTAACATAGTCCATATCGCAAGCGAATTAGATGTCTGGAAACCCAAAACGAATCTACGATCTTTGCAAATCATTGATTATATGGCGACGTTTATCAATGTGTCAACGCATTGCTACTCAGTGCCGCAACGAGCTGCCAATCACTTTCTACCCTTAAATGACATGTATATTTTGAGCCAAAATGCTTACGTGACGCTGGTGTACTTAATTTGTAATGCTTACAACTGTCACCATTTCGTGATATAGTTCTCGTCTCTTCATTCTCGTGACAATAGAGAGCACACAATTCCTTGTCATGGATCTTAAACAACTGATACATCTTTGACTAGTATTCTACTCATTATGATACGAAAGCAAAACAAGATGTTTAAAAAGAAACTGATTTTTATCAAGACATGCACGACGTCTTCTATAGCCTTCCGAGCTTTAAGACTACAGGAAACGGTCGAATAGAAAATAGACGCTGCCGATAAATAACGCAGACTTGGACACAACGGTAATGGTGTGTTTCGTACAGCGACATATATATTGCACATCAGTGACAGCGTGGAGTAGACACAATGAAATCGAGATAGGAGGGTATGATACGGAGTAGTTTTAAACCGAGAATTGCGCCACATTTTCACTGCTGAGCAACAAGAGCGAGTAATAAATCGAGAACAAAGATATCGTATACAAGGAAGGAACGTCAACATGTTCTGTAAATGAATGAAATGAAAAAATTAGTCGACAATGTCCACAAATCCACCAAATGTACTCACCACTGTACAAGCACAACCAGACATTCGACATTTTGTTCCAGTACAATGTCATAATGTCACGTCCAGCTATTTCTTGAAAAAAAAACCTTTTCCACGAAATATTTTTCAACCTTTGTTTGAGCGACATTCGGTCAAGACGATGTCGTTCCAGGAAACCTTTTTTCCGTACGTTCTTAAAAAGCACTTCATTTTCTCGAGTTCCTCTCATCATAACTTCTTCTCTTACAGGGCTTTCCTCTGGAATCGTGAAGAGAGATGCATAGTAACCAAATTGTCGATTTCCTTTGCAGTGGAGGTGGCAAGTTGGACTATGAAAATGCTCAGTAATACATGCTGTTACAAATTTGGAGTAGCCTTTCTACCTACCATGAGCATTACTGCTAAAAAAACAGGCTTTTTATTTTTTTTCGTCAGTCTTTGATCGTGTTTTGTTGACTATAACAAAACTAAGGTAAAGGCCATATCAAGTTTCCTTAAAATCACTTTCAATTGTTTTAGTAATAGCATACTATTACTATTATTATTTTTTATCATTAATATTATAAGATGTGGAAACATTACGTCACGTAATTGTCAAAACGTAATTTATCGAACCTTTCGTAAGACATGAGAGCCATTATCTACTGTTCGTTCCTACGAGAATATACTTATATTACGTCCTATGTAGGTATCTCCAAGGTAGAATCGTGTAAACATACGATTTCATACGATCGAGTGAAATATAAAAGAGGATTACAAGTCATATGAAGTCTACTAACCATAAAATAAAAAAATATGTGCAGTACATAACTTACCCCATTTATCTTGTCGAGTTCGTATCAAATACGTCAATGGGGCAACACTTTCTCTTTCACCGCGACCTAGTGGCTGCTACGGCGGTACATCATGCTGTCTATGCGCATCTATCAAGTGACGAACACGCAGATCTGGTACTTTTAGGTCCTCAATGGCTTCGTATCTATCGTGTCGAGCCTTTTCCAAGTCTTGAGAACACTCTCGAGGTTTCTAAAGGCCATGTACTTCATAAATTAGCCTCATTTCATTTAGCAGGCGTTGCTAATAGTGTTCTTGTGCTTAAATTTGATCGACATTTGCTTCGAAAGAAACATCGTTTCGTAGGTGGTCACGAAGTGTTGTTACTGTCTTTTCCATTGTTTAAATGGGTCATTGTGGGCTATGATAGACGATCTCGCAATCTCGCAACATTAGCCATGTTTTCGTTTGAAGAAGATGCAATTGGACCGGGTGCAACATTAAAAGGAGAGAAAAATGGTTGTGAACAATTACTTGGACTTGGAACACAAGCAGTAGCTCGCGTAGATCCTCAAACACGTTGTGGTGCGATGCTTGTGTACTCGGATCAATTGGTTATTGTACCATTTAAAAGTGAATCGATGGAACTTTCATTCTTTGAAGAAGATGAACTTGAGACTGAAGAAGAGATGACAACTGGTGATTCGGAAGAAGAAGATGAAGAAGAAAAGAAACTTGAGGAACTCGTTCACGAAAGCCAGCATCGAGGTGGTGTCACAAATGATCTGAATAATACACTTAATGCATTATTAGACAAAAGTGTTAAAGTTGGAGCAAAGAGAAAGAGAAATCATATGAGTGGATTGATGCCAAATGAGATTACGGGACGAGAATTTCTATTACGATTGCGACAAGTAGAAATTACTGGCAAAGTCGTGGATTTAGCGTTTCTAGATGGATACTTAGAGCCTACGCTCATGATATTACATGAAGAGAATGAGAAGAATTCGACATCTGGACGACTTGCAGTGGGTTTCGATACGTTTTGTTTGACTGTTATGTCGATTAATATGAATACACGACTTCATCCAAAGATTTGGACTGTTAAAAATCTTCCGTCCGACTGTTTTCGACTAATTCCATGTCGTGCACCTCTCGGTGGTGTCGTGGTGTTGTCATCAAATGCGATTCTATATTTTAACCAGACGCAATTTTATGGACTCGCGACAAATACGTTTGCCATTAAAACAGTGAACCAGGCAGTCTTTCCTCTTAATGATGCAGTGTATGAGACGCCTGATCATGAAACTGCAGCGTTAAATCTAGTACTTTATGATTGTCAGTATGAATATATACAAGAAAAGGAATTGCTGTTGACCATGCCTAGTGGAGAACTCTTCGTACTTTCTTTACCGTATGAAGACACAGCGAATCGTGGCTTGTACGGCTTTGGTGGACAAGCATCGAATCGAAACGCAATGCTGTCGCTACGAATGCTTCGAAACCACATCGCAACAAAGTGTTTGTGTCTTGATTTTGAGCGTCAGACTCTTTTTGTCGGCTCTCGAACAGGTGATTCAGTGCTGTTTGCGATGGACAAGAAGGTGGTGGATGGTGAAAAGCTTAAGTCTCAAGATGAGGAAATAATAAGTCGAAAGAAGAGTATTCAACCGGATACATCAGCGGACGTGAAGGTGGAGCCTGATGAAGAGGAAGAAGAAGATGAGGATGACTTGTTTCTATATGGAGCTGCTTCAAAGGAAGAAACAATTGCGAGCAATGAAGGTGGTGACATGACAGATGGATCTAGCATGAAAGAGGAGACAGGTGGTTTGTATGACGAACATTGTGGTCCGTATGTTTACGAACTTCGACAAATTGATGTACTTCATGGGATTGGACAGATCACATCGATCGATCTGGGCTTGGAAAATAGCGCCGATTCGAATGAAAAGCGGGAAGAACTTGTAATTAGCGGTGGATATGAGCGTAGTAGTGCCATTTCTGTATTGCACAATGGATTACGACCAATTGTCGGGACGGAAGCCGAGCTTAATGGCTGTCGCGCAATGTGGACCGTTTCGTCTTCACTCCCGTCGGCAAGAAAGAGTTCGGATGGTCGAAGCTACAATGCGTACTTGATTTTAAGCGTTGCACATCGTACGATGGTGCTACGAACTGGTGAAGGGATGGAACCTTTGGAAGATAATAGCGGGTTCTACACTTCTGGTCCAACGCTGGCTGCGGCAAATTTGTTTAACAAACAGCGTATCGTTCAAATTTTTAAGCAAGGAGCTCGTGTGATGATGGAAGTACCAAAAGAAGAGACTGTGGGCGGTCAAGAAAAAGTTGTCAAAGCAGAAGAAGCAGAAGAAGAAGAGGAAGAAGAAGAGGAGAACGGACCTAAGGTCAAATTAGTGTGTACACAGGAAATTACATTAGAGGGCGATGTCGAAAGTGGTGGTATGAATGTCGATACTTCTCGCGTCGGAATTGTGTCAGTTGATGTCGCTGATCCATACATTCTTTTGCTGTTAACGGATGGATCGGTTCGTTTGCTCATGGGAGATGATGAAGACATGGAGCTGACAGTAATTGACCCAGAAATTGACTACGCCGACGGATTGGAGTCGAATGAAGGTTCAGATTCGCCAAAGCATGGCAGTAGCTCTGCGTGTCTTTTTTACGATTGGACAGGTATGTTTAATGAAAATGCTTGGGGGGAGGAAGATGAACGTCTAGAACGCCATGAAGCAACTGCAACGCTAAGTAAAAGGCAGAGCACAGGTGACGAGGATGATGAAATGGACGCACTGTACAGCACTACTAATCTCAATTCGCGAGTTAGCACAAGTCAAATTGAAAACACCCCAACATTAGCGCCAAGTCGAGCTATGAAAAAGAACCCAGACGGCTCCGTCTCGATTCCATTACTATTACAAAGCGATGCAAAGATGATGTGTGGCATGTGCTTTGGCGACGGATCTCTACACGTATTTTCGCTTCCTGACTTTAAAAAACGAGGTGTGTTTCCATATTTGACGTTCGCACCACAGTCTCTCGTGAATACATTGGAGCATTATCAAAAGAGCACGGACAAGAATGTAAAATTTGCTGCTCCCATTCTTGGACTTAATGCGTCAACGTCGTCTGCGAACGAAGGGCGGATCAAAAAGTCTCACACGATCAATTCACCTGTTGCTGACATTGCCATTCATCGTGTTGGACCAAGTGAAGGGCAACACAATGCTCAATATCTCGCACGGATGGTCCTGTTTGTATTTTTAGCAAATGGGGATTTGCTCTTGTACTCGGCCATGCCAAAGTTCGAGAGTCTGACTGCACGTCATGACGAAGAAACTGCGCCAGTTTATCAATTTGTTCGCGTCGAGACAGATTTAATTACGCGTCCATTTGTTCCACCAAAATCACGCACAAATACACACAATGAAACTGGCAATCACTCGGAAGTGAATACTTCTGCCGTCTTGGCCAAACTTCGCGCTGGATTTCGCTATCCAATGTTAACTTGCTTTGACAATGTTAACAATATGAGCGGTACCTTTTTTCGAGGTGCACATCCTATGTGGATTATAAGTGATCGTGGTCAGCCTTGTTTTGTACCCATGTGCGTACCTGGATCCGAACCACAGGCTTCAAAAGCAAAAGTCACGTCAAAGAATGCAAGTCCGAGAGTAAGTGTGCCAGTATTGAGTTTTACACCTTTTCATCACTGGAATTGTCCAAATGGATTTATTTATTTTCACTCGCGTGGTGCGTTGCGAGTGTGCGAACTTCCCTCGAGCAAGACGTCAACGATTTTACCGTCAAGTGGTGGATTTGTGCTCCAAAAAGCTGAATTTGGGGCCACGTTGCATCACATGTTGTACCTAGGAAACCATGGACCAGGAGGTGTTGCAGAAGCATTAGAGGCACCGACGTATGCGGTTGTATGCAGTATCTCGATGAAACCAGCGGATGCAGAACGTGCTACTGAAGTCGAGTGTATTGAAGAAACTTTGGATAGTGAAAGTCTCGATGCAAATGGAAATCCTATTGGAAGTAATGTGATGGCACCGACAGCTGAAATGTTCTCTGATTATGAGATACATGAGATGGCACACACTGAAGAAGATGTATATGAATTGCGGTTGGTACAGACCAATGAGTTTGGTGAGTGGGGACATCGTGGAGTCTTTCGTGTCCACTTTGAAAGGTATGAAGTCGTACTGAGCGTAAAACTCATGTATTTGTATGATTCATCGCTTTTGAAAGAAGAAGTGGCATCATTTTCGATGGAATGGAATAAAAAGAAACGTCCTTACGTAGTCATTGGAACGGGATGTGTTGGACCTCATGGTGAAGATGAAAGTGGACGTGGTCGATTATTGTTATATGAATTAGATTACGCGCAATACGTGAACGAAGAGGGGGGTACAACAAGTGGCAAGTTACCCAAACTACGACTTGTGTTTATTAAAGAACACAGACAAGGAGCTATTTCGGCTGTGGCTCAACTTGGACCATATGTACTTGCAGCTGTGGGCTCAAAATTGATTGTGTACGAATTCAAGTCGGAACAACTTATTGGGTGTGCATTTTACGATGCTCAAATGTATATTGTGACACTAAATGTCATCAAAGATTTCATCATGTATGGTGATGTCTACAAAAGTGTTCATTTCTTGCGTTGGAGAGAAATGCAGCGACAATTGTTACTACTTGCAAAAGATTATGAACCACTTGCTGTCTCTGCGACTGAATTTAGTGTCTATGAAAAACGATTAGCATTACTAGCCGTAGATATGGACGAAAACATGCACGTGATGCAATTTGCACCTCAAGATATCGAGTCTCGTGGTGGACAACGTTTGCTTCGTGTGAGTGACTTTCACTTGGGAGTTCAAGTTTCGAGCATGTTTCGAAAACAAGTTGATGCTGTGGTATCTGGTACAAATAGACAGGAAGGAGCTTTTCCTTTGTGTTACGTCAATATTTTAGGTACATCAGAAGGAGGTGTAAGTGCTTTAGTTCCTGTCAGTGAGCGAGTTTTCCGACGTCTTTTTACTTTGCAAAATGTGATGGTGAATACACTACCTCAGAATTGCGCTTTGAACCCACGAGAATTTCGTATGCTCAAGACGAATGCTGAGTTGAGATGTGGTAGATCTGATGGTTGGAGCAAAAAGAAGTGGAAAAAGAGTTTCTTGGATGCATTGGTGCTCTTTCAATTTTTGCAGCTTGATTATGTGGCGCAGAAAGAACTTGCGCGCTGTATTGGAACAACACCTGAAGTTGTGATTCACAATTTACTCGAAGTGCAGCATGCTACATCGACATTTCTGTAGCTGTGATCGTGGGAACTCATATACTAATTGGTCTCATAGCTTTGATTTAAACTAGACATCAAATGAAAAGTTAAATGGCTTTCATGGATAATGGATATACTTTTCGGATCATTTCCTGAAGGCATAATACGACTTTAGAGTCATTTTTAAGAACAAGCCCCGCCAACGGGAGATAAAGATCATTATCAGAATGAATAAAGGACCGCAACGTTGCTTTATCCGATCAGAGCACAATGAAGAGATGATACTTAAAAATTTTCATGTGCTTACTCGATAATAGCTGAAAACTTGGTCGATATATTTCAGTGAATAGGGGTAACAACATCAGTACTACTAAAATGATGTGTACTTGTTAAATTTTCTAATTTTGCTTCTTCCGGCCACAGAGAATTTCTTTTGAAATTTTGAGCCATAGATGATGCAAATTTTACGGTGTGTAATATATGAGAAATGTAAATGATTTTATCCAGAAAAAGTGTTCAAAAATTTGACCTCAGTTTTTTTCAAATCACATGACGAGATGGAGCTCAGAAGCAATACATGGGTCGAAATATTCATAATGTACTGGACAGCAATCATATGGCACACTATTCTAGTGTTCGAAATGACAGAAATGGCAATTGACCGAATATTAAGCTCTCGGAAATCCAGTCTGCCATGACGCCATCTTTTCAACGACCACACGACTATAGAAAAGGGTATGTATACTGCAGCTTAAAGTGAATGCTGCAATGCATTGACCTTTGGTATCGTTCGCATCCGATCCACATAACATTTGCATTTGCAAATTTGACACCTAGATCAAATTGAAATCGAGACTTTGCTAATTATGCGTCTAAGCTTCATTTTTTGGCTCTTATCGCTATCTGGTTTTCGCGTACAATAGCTAAGAAGCAACAAAGTAGCGCACCTCTCTTCGCGATTTCAGAGGATGCTCCTGCAGGAGACGAAGATATGAAGACGGGTTTTAAAGATCTAAACGAGATTTCTGGTGTGAAAGAACGGAGAAAAGGTTTCCTGGGACGATATCGTCTTGACCAAATGTCGCTCAAACAACGGTTGAAAAAAACTCGTGGAGAAGCTTTTTTATCAAAAAGTAGATGGGCATGACATTATGACATGATACTGAAACAAAAGGTGTTGTTGTGGTGAGAACATTTGTTGGATTTGTTAAGATTAATGGACATTCGAGCTAATGTTTACATTTCCCTTTATTCATAGGCCGTTGACGCTCCTTCCCTGTATACGACATAGCTGTTTTCGATTTATTACTCGCTCTTGTTGCTCAGCAACAAACATGTCGTGCTATTCCTCGACTACGTTTCATACCATGCTGTCACTAACGTGCAATATACGTAATCCACCATTACCGTTGTTTCCATTCTGCATCTATCCGACCTTATCTCGTAGGCCATATCGCGGTTGGCAAGACGTCGCGAATGTTGCTTTGGATTACAATTGTTTTTTTAAAAAACAACTTGTTTTGTTTTCGTATCCTAAGGAGTAGATGCTAATTAAAACTGTTTAAGATACAAAGATACGACAATAAGCGCAAAGCGTTGGACCAAGAATGTTCAAAGACAATAAATTGGTTCGGCTTTCCAGTATTCTAATTTGCTTACGATAGGAACTAAAATACAAGATCATGTAAAGAAGCGTGTTGGATGTCGTCGTACGTACTCAGCTTACTGAGAGACCAAGCATACCAGCACGTACACGCTCCAACGAAAATAAGTACTAAGGTTCTTGACAGAACTTCAGGGCTGCATCAAGGTGGAGCGTACGAATTCACCCTCTGTATGCTGTTAGAACAGAATCTTTGAGTAAAACTTCGGTGTGTTGTTAGCGCAGAATCTTTGAGTAAAACTTTGGTGTGTTGTTAGCGCAGAATCTTTGAGTAAAACTTTGGTGTGCTAGGTACACGACAACTCTGTTGAGCCTTCCTTGAATCTAAAAGCATAATGCTTACGCGTCTGCGTTACATTGACCCAAGACTAGCGACTAGTGGCCGCTTTTAATTCAATACTGCTAAGCTGTGTAATTAAACACCCAGTAATAAGCATCTTAAACTAGGCTTTCAAAGAGAATGTTAACTGTAAGCCGCAGAAACGACAGTACCACTAGTGAAAACATCTATCTCTCGAAGAAGAAGAATGTCGGAAATTTCAAAGTTTACATAGAATCAGAGATTTTGAGCTCTGAAAAAGTCAGCGTCTTTGTACGCAGCCTTGCACCCATCAAAAAGCGCAGTGATAGATGGTGTACATGTGTAGAAACATCAGGCCAAACTTAATGTAGATTGCCATGCCGCATTCGATTGTATCTTCAGATTCACGACAGTCGATATCCTTTAACAGCTTGCCACTCATGAAATGAATAGCAAAAATGGGCTAACATTTTGAGAGGATTCTAGCTCCACTCCTGAGTAAAATGTACAAATCCATCATCCGTGCGTCTGCTAACTTGATTAAAATTGTGTGACTTTTACAGAAGTTTGTTCTTTCAGCGCTTGTCATCAATTTGATGTTTGAGCCTCAATAAATATGCATCCTTAGTGATAACATAACGAGCTAATTCACGTATCTACCCTAAAGACAACTTCGTGAACAATATCTGTCTTTTGTGAGTTCCAGATAATTGCATAATGTACGATCCACTGGCCGAAAATGTAGAGATGAAGCCTGCTAAGACATTTCCAGAAAGCCTTATCCGGGCGTCTATATGAGCAACACCAACTCCTGCAATGCGGCTGCTATCGTTAAACGTCTAATCTTTCAATGGCAGAGAATCTCTTTGTCTAAGTGAAATTACGATGCCATGTGCCACAGACTGAGCGCTGGATCTCCAAGAAAGAGGCTGGAGCAAGAATGGACAGTTGTGTGCCGTACTTTAATAGAAAAGCACTTCTAATATAGAGATTGACTGAGCAAGATATGACGCGGGTACCCGCAACGTCTATTCATGCGTATTTTGTGCGATGTGCACCGGTCAAGGTAACAAACTATGGTTTGCTGAAAAAAAGTTGATAGGCGGGGTGATGGTAGACTCACTTCCGAAAACGGTAGTGATTGACATCTTGTTATCAAAATCAAGGGCAGATGCGGTAACCACTTACTGTTCGCGTCAACTCCCATTCGATGAATCGGTGGTGTCGCCTTGAGTGCGAAAATCGTGTCACGCGGTCCGTTCAAAAAGCAAATTTCAAGTCTCTATGAGCGCGCCTGGGGCGATAAGCTTCAGCCAAGCTGCAATAATGGAGGTTGCGATAATGAGGGTTGCTTAGATGCTGTGCAGTACTTTGGTAATCACATATGCTACATACGTGGCAGTGGCCCTTACATACGCCCTTCATGCCCCCTTCTGCACTCGGGATTATTGCGCACCTCCAACAGAGATAATATTAACTTCGAAGAGTCTGCGTGTAAAACGCACTGAGGATAAGTTCGTGTGCGCTTCATTTTTGCGCGGCATGTCCCCATCATAAATTCAAGCGTCGTATACATTTAAACAAAGATTGACAATAAATGTGTATGTTTTTCCATATCGTATTTAACGAACTGTGTAGCGTGATGTCAGCAGCCACAACCACTCCTTTACGATTTTGTATCAATTTCGGCCATACCAGAGCTGATAGTGCGTTTTTAAATTAGGATTCTTTACTATGGTGCTTTTGAGCTAGGTACTAGGTCAGAGGGAAAATAATGACAATAGTGTAATGAGCACGCTCACCATACGATACTAAGTATTTACTTCACCCTTTCCTGCTACATGACATCCACACCCATTTAGTAAATTTAAAGGAGCGCTCTACGAGCACCTATCGCGCCAAGGATTCTTCTCCATCCAGTAGTTTTTAGGTACAAATACCTTACACCTAGAGTCCTCACCCTAACGGCTCCACGTGACTTGACGAGCTACTGAGGAAGGCGCGACTTCAGTGGCCAACGGTTCTTAAGCCAAACTCGATGAGACAGCTGAGGTGTATAGATGTCTCAAATGAAACGGTCCCGGTAGCTGTAGCACCCGAACGCTTATAGGGAAACATACAGCAAATCTAATTTCAAAGAGTCAGTCGTTTTATGCTTCTGCCTCTCTCTGCACTATATTGCTGAGAGACGATGAGCACATGATCAAGACGTAGACGCGGACACTCACCACCCCAACTGCTTATCATAAGCAGCTCTAATCATCTTCGTAAAGACTCGGTATAGATGCCAAGAACTGTCTTGCTCTGAGCGACCCTTTGTGCAGCGGGGCGA